AGTCCTGACCTGTAGATGAGTGTAAACTGCAGAGTCCTGACCTGTAGATGAGTGTAAACTGCAGAGTCCTGACCCGACGACGTAGCTCATCTGTGCTGGTTCATTCTTTTGAACATTTTCACTAAAGAAGAACCCATCCAGAGGACCTACTTATTTTTTCTTTTTGATTTTTTTATACCTTTATTACTGAGATGCATCAGGACATGTTTGTTTTAAGTTTTCCTTTGTAGAAACATCAGATGCTCAAATATTTGTTGTGAAGTGTATAAAAGGTATATTGTTTTAATAATGTCTCTCCTGTGTCCATGTTTAGAAAACAACGTGTCCATCAGAGTGGAAGTGGATCCCAGACACCCAAGGATGCTTCCAGAGTGCTGCCTGCTTGGAGCAGAACACGGTAGGTACATCTCCGGACAAGACAGTTCTGAGTGGATGTTCAGGCAGGACAAAAACTCTATATTATTTCTGTTACACCAACACTTGAATTCAACTGCTTTCTCTAAAAAATCGTAACTGTTTTAGCTGCAGAGCCAAACCAGAGCTGGATCTGTGCCTGGAAAACAAAACTCAGTTCCACCTGCCACTTCTAACACAGCAATCCACGGGGAGTTTAGATATCACATTGACCCTAATGAGCCACTCGCAGCAGCTTTAATCTTTGTTTTGATCTGTTTTTTTACTCTTCTAATTTTATACAGTTAACACATCAAAATGTAGACATTTTGTCATCATTTTACTAAAGTCCCAAAATCTGTTTGGGCTTCATAAGTTGATGTATGGTAGAGTTTTGGTCAGTAGCTGCTTTGGAACCATATTTAACCCCAGATCTTATCAAACTGTAATGATAAAACAACATGAGTAATGGTTGGAACCACAGAGAAAAACTCGGACCACTTGCAGATCCAACAAATACCTTAGACTGTTTCACAAGACACCTTCGTCCAGGACTTAGACACATTCCTGCTGCCTCGGTGGGGCATGAACGGACCGAAGTGGTGAGGTGGATCGAAATCAGCCCGTCTCTGATGTGCCCACCGAGGTGGTATCAGAGGCAGAACCACCGACATGTGAAGAAGTGCTGTGGCTCAGTAATATGATGGAATGATGACATTAGTTCATGACCGTGTGCTCACGGTATTAAACAACAAACAAGTTGTAAAAGAGCATTTTATTTTACTAAAAGATTGGATTTTTTATATTAAAGGGATCCATGATTAGTTGTAACATTAGACTTTATTTAACAAACATATATTTTAACTGTAAAATAAAGACTGTAAAAATACTGTAGGATGTTTATTTTTTATAATTTTTAAAAATAAATTTAAACACGGACAGGGCCATTTTATTTACATGCAAAGCATTCTGGGTAAATGATGACGTGGATAGGTCATCGGTGTGAGCGAGCTATATCCACCCTGAAGGTTAATCTTGGACAATATCTGATGATCGGCTCTTTTAAATGAAACCAGAGAGCGTTGACAGAGAGGAGAAGGTAGAAATGACTCAGCCTGTAACTGAAAATATGGATGGAGGACAACAGAGCTGCTTTATGGAAGAAGAACCTCAGCTTAGCCTGTTAGCCTTAGCGCTAGCGCCCACGCTATATTGCCTTATGTGTATTAGCTCGGTGCTAGCGCGACAAACAAGCTAAACTGAGGTCCTCCATCCATATTTTCAGTTACAGACTGAGTCATTTTTGTGTTCCCCTCTCTGTCATGTGGATGGAGGACCTCAGTGATGAGAGGAGAATGTGTAGCGCTGAGCTAATACAAATATATGATGATAGCATCGGGGCTAATGCTAAAGCTAACAGGCTAAGCTGAGGTTCTTCTTCCATGAAGCAGCTCTGTTGTCCTCCATCCATATTTTCAGTTACAGGCTGTCATTTCTACCTTCTCCTCTCTGTCAACGCTCTCTGGTTTCATTTAAAAGAGTCGATCATCAGATATTGCCAAGATTAACCTTCAGGGTGGATATAGCTCACTAGCAGCCTCACACAGAGGACCTATCCATGTCATCATTTACCCAGAATACTTTGTGTGTAAATAAAATGGCTCCATCCGTGTAATCTACTTTTAAACTTTTAGTTTAAAAATGATAAAAACTAAACATCCTACAGTATCTTTAGTCCTTATTTTACAGTTACAATAAATGTTTATCAAATAAAGTCTAATGTTCCAACTAATCATGGATCCCTTTAATAAAAAGAGTTGCGGCCAAGTTTTGATTGAGACTTGATTCTCCCCTGTGGATTTGTTCATTTTTAATTCTCTATACAAAACAACAGATTTAGGAGAAGATATATATAGTCGCAACATAAAACGTGGAGTTTAAACAAATAACAGAAAAACTGAATTTGGAAATAAATAAGAGATGTCAGTGGGCCCTTGTTGAGTGTTGACTGTGTGCTGATGCTGATGATTGTGTTGCAGCAGGTGTGTGTAGTTGTGTGCTGACAGCTGTTTGTTGACGTGTTGGAGTCCATTTCCATCCTCGCTGCTCTGACTGCGCAGCCAGCCGCAGAGCTCTGAGCCTCACGTTTCTGTTTGAGTTTCTGTCAATTGGCGACCATCGTTCCCATGAACCCAGGGTCACGAAACTCCACGCCTGTTGCCTAGCAATGTGACGCAAAAGATATTAAACGCGTGCACGCCAGAGCCACCGAGACGAGAGGCAGGCGGCGACCTTCAAACACAGAAGGCTACACAGGAATATTGCTGTTTGCATGTAGGAAAAATACATTTGATGGTGATGCGGTGCAGAGAGACGAGGCTCCCGGTGGAACGGGAAGCGGCCGTGGTTCAGATGTGACAGCAGCGGCGCTCCTGCACCGGGGCTGCTGTCAAATAAAAGCCAGCATTGGAGGAGATGCCGAGTGCCGACTCTTCAGACTGATTAATTTTCTGAAAGCTTATAAACAATCCTGAAGCATCTGTAGAGGTTTCAAACGCATGAAAACACACTTCCACTCTAATTTAAAGTTACTATTAGAGCTCACATCCATTCTGTTGTGTTGTTGCAGTGGTGACGCCACTGAGGAGCAAACTGAACGCCAACATGCACACGTGGTGAGTAGTTATTTTTTTCTGTTTTCTGTACCTGAAGACAGTTTGAGTGTCATTGTTAAAATGTCAAATATTGTATGTTTTTTACCTTCAGTGAGTTGCTGTGATTATTTTCCTTCTGCAGTTTCAACCAGATGGAAGAATTAAAAAAAGTAGTGTTGGATTTTTACAGGAGATGATTATTGTTTTGGGAATGATAGAGAAATTGAAAAAATTGAATAAAGACAAATTACAGACTGAAGCTTTAAGCTATATACTGCCTTACATTACCCTTAATCTTATTGGAAAGATAGTAATATAATAATATTAGGTATTTAAAACATTTTTAAACACCCCAAATTGAAATACTAATGCGCACCTGATACTATTGAATTATTTATGTATAGAAACTTATGACTTTCTGGCACCAGCATTCTGCACAAACTCACCTGGTAAGGGTAAACACTTTACTGTATAAAAGAACAAGTATTGTAATCTTGTATCTTTTAAATTGGTCAATTTTGATTCATTGAATCATTAGTGATCATGAGTTAAAACCTATTTTATATGAAATGAGCAAAAAGTTTTTTTTCTTGTACATATGAGGTGTATATGCATCTATGCCCCCACCCCCAAACACACACACAGGCCCAGTTATGTGACTAAATGGGTAAAATCATGTGTAATTTGCCAAATTTCTCAAATAAAAATGTGTTTTCTTACTATTTTTGGCTGTGTAAGAAATGCATGTCACTGGCACTTTAAACATTATTTCTACACACTGACCATCTTTCAGCTTTTCTGCTCCAATCTCATGGAAAAGTTTGTAATCAGAGCTTAAACTTAGAACTCTAGTATCTCTGATGTGTTTAAGACCATGATTGATCCCCTTATGTTACAAGTGCAATTTTTTAACAGTCATTTGTTTTGCTGTAAGTTTATGTTTATTGGGATTATGTGTTGTAACTGAGTCTCTGTCTTTTTATACGCTGCCAGTCTTGTCCAGGTCTCTCTTGTTAGAGATCTTTTGATCTCAATGGGATAGACCTGGTAAAATAAGGATGTTATTATTATTATTATTATTATTATTATTATTAATAATAATAATAATATCTACAAAAACTAAAAAACATTTGAATATTTACTGTAATTACAGACAGATAAAAGCAATCGTACCCCTTAAACAGAGAAAAACTCACAGCTGGTCACTGAAACTTGAAAGAATTGATTGACTATAAAGGTAATTATTTTGAGTTGTTCGTGAACAAAATGAGTGGAAAAATGAAGCAGCTCTAGAGATACCAGCCATGACAACTTAACTGTATGTTTTGTTGCACAACTTTTGACAAAATCCCAGCAGTCAACTAGTTTCTGTAACTCTGAGATTTCTGCACTCAGTCACATGTATTTTCTTTAGCTCCCAGTGAGCAAACTGCTCCAGATTTTTAAGTTTAGGTAAGATATTACTTTAATACCAGCAGCTGTACTGTCCCTAATCAAACACTGAAGCCATTTTGAGAAAAAAAACTCCCAAGTAGCTCAGTTTGGCCTAAAAGTGACTTTAGTTTTTATGTTGTTTGACACGTTTAGGATAATCTGTAAATCCAGCAGAATACTGTTAAATTGAAAACCAGCTGCTTTGAGAAAAAGAAATCTGTTCATCACCCCAGCATTAAAAAAAAACATGATTACTCATTTTGATTTGCTTTTCACCACAGGATTTTAACATTTGCATCACTGCGTGACACTCTGCTCTGAAAACAACTTCTCCCTCAGTGTGAGGAAGTGGTTTTTTTTTTTTTTTCTTTTTTTTTTCCTGTTGTGTAGCCGTGGTGGAAGTGTCCTGATCATCCCCCAGTGTCTTTGCAGGCTCATTTGCATGTGGTTAATTAGTGTGTGAAGGAGCTGTCTGTGGTCTGCTGGCAGGAACCCGGACTCCAGCGTCTTGCACAACCTTCGGGATGTTTTGGAGATCGAGTTCCCTTCACCGGCCACCCACGAAAAATCTGTATGTCACACAGTTTCACCTTCTCCATTCCAAACACGTCCATTCTCATCAAGAATAGCTGAAGGAGTCGTGCGTGTTTACATCTTCTGTGTGTTTGAACTCAGGAGGGGGGCGGATGTACACTGCTGCCTATTTTTCTGTCCATTTCCATATTTCTCTCCCTGTGTGTGTGTTGGGTTTCTTTAAGAGCTGCTCTTTTAATTGGGTTGTTTACAGATAAAAATATTAGAATAACAAAGATGGCAGAATTCTGTTCTTTATCAAACTGCTTTAATCACTCAAAACCATTTATCTATATTTTTTTTAATGTTTTTTTTCTCTCCTACCTTAACTGCAGATGGGTTGAAAGGGCGTTTTGTTTATCTGCTGTCGCCGCGGTGATTAATGCCTCAGCTTCATTAACATTCAGAGGAGTGCAGAAAAGTTGGGTTGGCCAGATGTTGATTTTTTTTCTTTTTACCTGCTATCCTCTCCCTTAATGGATGGCTACAGGCAAAAAAAAAAAAAGGAGTAAAGCTTGTCATTATAATAAAAATGCAAACAAGCAGAGAGATGGTGTGTGTTGAAGGTGTTACTGGGTGAAGTCAGCTGCTGGAGATTTACTGGAGACCAGTTTAACAATCTATCATTGCATAATTCACACAGAAAATAGTTTTTCAAAAAAATATTTTTATGTATTTGTTGATTTTAAAATAACTCGAAACGCTGTAGTAACTACGCCAGGCCTATGTGTGGCACTGTGACGCTGCCACGAGAAGAAGCAAGGCATTTATACGATGAGTTGCTCGCCCTCCTCCGGCCAAGCGACTGGTGAAACTCCTTCATGTACCGTAGATGTGCGCACGCCAGCTTGTGACGCAACATAAAAGTTGAATAATGTTCAACTTTTGTCACTGTCAGCGAGGGTTTCATTGACTGACCAATGAGCGGAGAGGATGCTACACACTGCAGTTAGCTAACACTTTAAACTTTATTTTAGCTGTCAGACTTTTCATTATGACACTTCATGAAGTGATTACTAATGTACATAAAAAGGCAGCTGTATGGGAGTTTGTTGGCGCCGGCATGAAGTTGTAACTAAGTTTTTTTCTCAAAGTCGTATGTTAGCGTGCGTTTGTTGTTCATTACCATTAGCATCGCAAGATTTGTTTAGTTTATACGGTGGTAATGCAGACCATTCATTTTTTTGATAACCATCAATAAATTTCACAAGAAGCAGAAGAACCTGTCAAATTTCTTAAAGACAAGCGACCTGCAAGCACGTTTTGCAGCGCAGCCGTCGCTATCGCGTCCAGTGTGTTGAGTTTCAGCTGGTTGTGATGACAACCATTAATCGCTCTCGTTTGCCGCTTCCTGTTTGTCGAGCACATTTCCTGTTGGGTGTGAATTCTAAACACAAAATGAAGATGAGAACAATCTCAGACCATAGATTAGTGGTGGATTTGTGATGCCTATATATAATATATATATA